AATGAGTCACAAGACGCCGAATCTTAATTACTTATGCAAACTGGAAACAGGCGTTCCACGAATACTGATTCAAAGTATAAAAAGATTATTAACCTCTTCCTCGAAAGTGAGTTTAATTTAAGATCATCGTTCCATGCTGTCAATTTACACGGGTCCAATGATTTTTACATTTAAAACAAGTAATTGAACATTCAGAAATTCCAAAATACATGCTTCGGTTATAGCTTTCATTTCACGCAACAGGCAACAGAGAACACAACGTTGGTATTTACGCTAACTTCCGCATAAGGCCAATTCTCGTGGATTTTTTCTTGCTTCCAAGAAAGCGTGTTTCAACTAGTTACACCATGACCATGCAATTTCACATGTCACTATGACCAATTTTAAACATTTATATAGCCTCGAGACCATTCGGAGACTGCTATACAGTATATCGATCGTCTGTTTTAGCCTTCACATCAGATGCACAAGAAGGAACGGAGAATGCGCGCTTTCGGTGTTTTATAATAGTTGTACTAATGAACTTTAATGAACTTTAATGAACTTTATTACAGGATTACACAAATTACTGGTAAACCAGTATTTTACATTGTGGTCCAAAAATATATATAGTTTAAATTACAATATCTACATATTTCAATTAGAATGTCTGTGTGACCAGAAAATGATCATTTACTAAAAGTGTTTTATTACTAACTAAGTGTTTTTTAAATTTACCTAACCCACTAATATTCATACTATCCACATTAAGTTTATTCCAGAGACGAACAGCACTAGCATGAAAACAACGAAGTCCAGATCTTGTATGGCATTTCGGTACAACTAATTTCATATTAGAAGATGCTCTAGTACAATATTCATGCCAATTCTTAACATAACTTACATAGTTATCAAAATACTGTGGACACATTTTATTGATTATTTTATACATCATGCACAATTTATGTACACGAATAGTGTCATCAATGGGAATCCACTTTAATGTATTAAATAATGCTACTGAATTATCAGATGGATTCGCATCAAGGATTAAGCGGGCACAACGCTTTTGTAATCCTAAAAGTCTTAATAGTTGTTCGTTTGAGCAATTGCCCCAAACTGTGCAACAATATTCCAGTGTTGATTTAATCAATGCATTATACAACATCTTTCTACCAGAAATAGACAGATAACCTTTGGCTCTCTTCAATAGGAAAAATCGCGAGTTCAATTTTTTCATTAAACAGTTAACTTGATCATTCCAACTAAGATATTTGTCTAATTTTACACCCAAGAGTTTTTCGTCTTTAACTTCTTCAATAGGTACTCCATTTAGGTTAAGTTCCAAAGAAGATATATTTGCGTGTCGCAACTTCTGATGAGTGCCAATGAGCAAATGTTTAGTTTTCGTAATATTAGGTTTCATATGATTTTGCTTAAACCAGACATTTGCACAGTCAAGACTACTCTGAAGATCATTTTGAATTTTAATACAGTCACCATTAGATTTCCAGAGTGTTGTATCATCGGCATAGACATCAACATTTGCTTCAGGTATATTTAAGGGTAGGTCATTCATATATAGGGAGAACAAAACGGGGCCAAGTATTGATCCCTGAGGTATACCACAAGATGGAGTAAGTGGTGCAGATAATGACCCAGCAACGGAACAGATTTGAGAGCGTTCCGATAGATATGATTCAAACCATTTCATAGAGACAGCACTAGCATGGTAGGCTGATATTTTGGACAACAGGATATCATGATCTACGAGATCAAACGCTTTGCTAAGATCAAGCAAAATCACTCCAACCAGGTTACTCTTATCCATGGCATTAAGCCAATTATCTGTCAAATTGAGTAAAGCAGTCTCGCATGAATGATATGGTCGGTATGCAGACTGGTGGCGATAAAGGAGACCATGAGAATTAAGGTATTCAAGATAGGAAGTAGCAACGTGGCGTTCTAAAGGTTTGGATATAATAGGAAGAACAGAGATCGGTCTATAATTGTTTCTTTCATGTACACTTTCTTTCTTGTAAATTGGACATAATTTCGCCTGCTTAAACTTTACTGGAAAGATTCCGGTTGTGATACTCGCATTATAAATATGCGTTAAACTTGGCACAATTGCTGGTAATGCCATCTTTAAGACCTTAATGCCAATTGCATCAATACCAGTAGCTTTATTTGAAGCAAGTTTCGCAAAGTCCTGTTCGACTTGGTTTCTACTGATTTCGGGTATGAGAAATTGCGTCGACTCATCAATACGATCATTAACAAAGTTTTGCAGGCGCTGTTTAATCAGATCTTGTCCATTCTCATCAATACATGAGATGGGAGTTGTAGACGTTTGTGATTCAATAAAATATTCGTTAAACGCGTTTGCTATGGCCGTAGGATCAGATATTTGATGGCCGTCAACTTGTATAAAAGAGGGCATAGATGAAGCGGGCTTGGTAGGTGCAACACGTTTTAGTGTTTTCCATAATTTTCTTGGATTATTCAGATTAGATTCAATTTCGTCCTTAATATATGTTGATTTTGCATTAGCAATCATTTTAACGACTGCATTCCGAAGTAGGTTGCAAGGCTATGCGAGCACAACTTTTAGAAATATCAACATATGTATATATTCCTGTTTCAAAAACATATATCAATCAATCAATCAATCAAAAGGTTCAAAGAGTTTGTCGCGGCCAAAAAGATCAATCTGTTATCTGTAGGTAAATATTGGTATAGCGAAGAACCCGGACAAGACGAGGACCACTGATGTCAAGAAAATTCAGTATAGTGAGAGAACAGCGTGTTTCTTCCGCGAAAGCGTGTTTCAATTTGAGGGTGTCGTCTTTGCATATGTTGGTTACACTGTGACTAATTTCACATGGCACCATGATAAATTTAAAATATATTATAAAGAGTGGACCATTCGAAGCTATAGCTATAATACATGATCGATCGTCAGTTTTGGCCTTCGCACAACAGGCAACAGAGAACACGCCTTTGGTGTCTCATAACAGTTGTACTGAAAGGCTATATCAATGGCTGCACTATTTTCATAAATATTAAAATATATGTCTATTTCTATTTCACACATATATATGTCAGGCTAAAGAGCAGGATTATAAAAGCGACTCGTCACAGCCAAAAATGATCAATCGGCTATATGCAGTAGGTCAATGTTAACATATATAAGTGGCGAAGTACGCCGAGTAGACATGCAAGAACAACTGATATCAACAATAAATTCGTATTGTACCAATCAATTTGAATGGGAGGAAAACCGATAAACGCGCCCTACCTTGGTTTCTCAGCATGTATTAGGCTGCATTCATGCACTGCATTGAGTGAAGACAACAAGTTTACTTGTCCTCATGCAAACCATTCACTTTTCTCTCCTCGAATGAGTTTCAAAATCGCAAATGTTAATAATATGTTGCAAACCGGAAAACGGGCGTTCATATGAAAACTGATACCAAGTCATAAACATATTACTTTTAGCCTCCTACATCCTCCTTCCACGAAAGCATATCAGTTTCAAATTGGGAGTAACGTCTCACATGACTAAATTATTCAAGAGCCACAACATTCGGTTTTAGCTTTGAACCTGTTGGCAAGAGAGAACACAACTTAATTTGGCTTTTTAAAATTGTTACAATTAAAATTTGAATTTACGTATTTACGCGGAAACTTGAGCTGTGCACTGCACGCTAATTTGAATGCAAATTAAGCGAGCACATTTTTTACAAATATCAAGCTAAATGTGTATTCGTATTTCAAACACAAGCTCTGCTAGGGAATGCGGTTCAAAAACCGGGGTTTGTGGCGGCCAAAATTATCAATCGGTATAAAGAAATTTTAGTCAGCGAAGAAAGCATACAAGACACATGACGTTCACAACTATAATATATGGTATCAATACTTTAAAATATCATGCCACTCACTGGTGACTGGCTCCAATCGAAATTAAAACCGAACAAGACGTTCTGTAGAGCGTTAACTCGCTGGGATAAACAAGCACATTACTGTATATGATACATACAGTACACAGCTATTTCAATTAAGATTTAAGGTTGTCTTCGAGCTAAGCGGAAAATTAAGACGAACACGAGCGCGAAAGGCTTAACACAATACTAAAATGCGGTGCCCTACAAATAAAACTTCCGGCGTTTCCGCCTACAAGTAAAGTTATATTTTAATAGTATGCTACATTCTTCTGTTGGCCGCCAGTTGGTCCGTACGCCAGTATTAAACGACTGCCGTTAATTAAAAACGTTCAAAATACTATTAAAATGGACTCAAAATACTATTAAAATGAAGAGAGAAATGAGACGAATCCACTGGTATACAGCCAAAAAAGAGAAAACCAACGATACCAAAGTTATTAAGGATCAAACTTACTGCATTCTCCTTCGTTCTTATCGGGGAATATATTCAATATTCCCCTCTAATCAATTTCCGTTTAATAATCCCCTCTAATATTCACCTGCAATTAATAATCCCCTCTAATATTCACCTGCAATGTCTTTGCAGCACAAAAAATGAGAAAAAAACAACATAACGAAGGCAATATGGCATTAAGAAACGGCATAACGAAAGGCAATATGGCATTTCTATTCTGTCTCATTAATTAAACGCGACCTCGCAATGTGAAAAATAAGTACGTTATTTTGAGGCACCTCGGGGATATGTGTTTATTCACCTCGGCGCTGCGCGCCTCGGTGAATAAATCACATATCCCCTCGTTGCCTCAAAATAACCTATACATATTTCACACTACACTACAGTTTTCACGTTCCACAGCTGACTATTGGGGACTGTTGTTGCATAAATTTTATATTGATATGACACCAATATACTTCTCAGAAAGTAGTTATCTATTAAAGCTATGTTGTGTAGTTTAAGTTATAACCTTTTACCTTGAAATTGTCTTTGGCTCGTTTATATTCAGATTCAGTATATTATGATCGTGCACGGAATATCAAAGATCCAAATTTCGGATTTTCAGAGTCGTGCACCAAGAAAAATACATTAACTAAACTTGCAAAAATGTCCAGAGTTAGACACAATGCAAAATCGATAGAAAACAGGTGCAATTCGTTGAAAATTTTAACGAAATTGTTTGAAACATTTTGCCCCCTGCACGAAAGGCCGCCATTTTGAAAAGGTTAAATTTGGTTTTATTCGGCAGCTCAATAATATTCTATTTTGTGGCTATCGACGTCTGGAGATCCGAGAACAGAGACGAAACCTATACTCGCCCGCGGGCACAGAGTGCCCCAGCGAGTAATTAGCGTCCTACCTTCACCGGATCTCAGCAGATTAAACTAGATCTCATGCTTTGGTTGATGTCGACAAGTTTAGTCGTTCTCATATGCATGCAAACCACTTCTTCATCTATACAGGAATAAACACCTGATTAACCTCGCTATGCCTTGGCCGACAGTGTTAACGTTGTTTGAAAACAACAATTATTAAGTTGACTCGTTTTCTTCGTCTTCGGACTGATAAGTCACAAGATGCCGGCGAATCTTAATAATTATAGGCCTATGCAAACTGCATGGAAACAGGCATTCCATGAATACTGATTCGAAGTATAAACAGATTATTAACCTCTCCCGCGAGAGCGTGTTAAATTTAACATCATCGTTTCATGCTATCAATTTACACGGAATCAATTAATTTCACATTTATAATACATGAAAGAAAATTCGAAAATACATCGTCAATTATGACTTTAATTCCACGCAACAACCTATACGTGCACAATATCGGCAAAATAAAAATATCGTAAAACTAAATATCAAAATTTTTATTATGTGCATTCGTATTTCAAACACAAGCTCTGCTATAGGAGTGCGGTTGAAAAAAGCGGGGTTGCTGTGATGTCAAATGATAAATTAGTGTAGGTAAATGTAAGTTGGCGAAGAACGTCCTGACAGGAGTATTGGCAATACCGAGGGGCTGATACTCAGGCTATATATGACAGGAGCAACTAATATCATTATTAATAAATCAGTCATACCAATGAATTCGAACAGTAATAAAACCGAATTAGGGCCATATTCATTGACAGAAAAAAAAAAGTTTACTCGTTCTCATACAAACCACTTCTTGATCTTCGTGTTTGTCTTTGAATGAGTTGAGGCACAAGATGCCTAATGAGTATATTCTTAAATCTTAATACAAGTTGTTTCCAACCGGAAAACACACGTTTCCATGAACTACTGATCGATACCAAGTAAACAGATTAAGTAATTTGGTGTCTAATTGTTGTGATTAACCGTGCCCAATTTTATATATATGGTAAGGAACAGAGTTTAAAAAGCGGAGTTTATATAGTTTGTACGTCAATGTTTCTATAGGTAAAGTTGATGGCGACTAAAGCATCGATCAAGATTCGAACAACTGCAGTAATATCAATATTATGAATTCGTTCCAAGCATTTTGAGTAAAAATTATAAAACCGAATTGGCGTGAACTGGATGGACCCTCTCTTTCCTGCATCTTATTCCTAAAAATCTTAATCTTCACTATAACACACCCTTCCAATAATTACGTCACGAGTACTCCCTTGACCTGTGAGCCTCGCTTTCATAATAAGGCTGCCTGGTCAAGGTAACTATGGTGACATCATGGCAAAGGTGTACAAGTGTGTTTTAAAGACTTGAAACAGTTTTGTTTTTTATACAGAATAAACGACTTCAGACTAAGAGTTAGCAAACATATAGCTCTTTTCTGGCACTATTACGTGCAAAAATTGTCCCTGATACGTAAATCGGTAGCAGATGCATGTTATGTAAGAAAACGGCCAGAAATTTGCAACGTGGGCTTATATTAACCACTTTTCCCAAGCGCCCAATAAACCAGACACTTGGTATATTATACGGTAGGATGGACGTCTTATCGTTTGATGACCACCCAAAAATATTTGTCATTGAATTTAGAAATACCTTCATATTGTTAAAACACAAAGAGGGTTTTCTAGCATTGCCGAAATCTAACGATATGCATAGTTGATTGAAATGCCACAGTAGGTGTCAAACAATTTTCATAACAAAAAGCATTCCTTTCAAGTGATTCACGCAAATATTTTCACCAAAAATTCATCAAATTGAGTTGGAAGTTCCTAACTAGCGATAGGTGCCAAAGATTGTATCTCCCCATGTCGGCAATAGCATAGACTCTTAATAGGCGAAAAACTAATCGATTCATTTATCATTTCCCAATGCAAATATAATCAATGCAAATAGCATAATCCATAATTTAGAATGTTCTCGAAATATTATTACAGATTACTTTAGAGTTTCTAACCATTCAAATACAAAATCCGTTGCAGAATTAATACTACAGTGAATAGTGGAAAACATAGCAAAATGTCACTATTAGTGCATTATTATTTACTAATTCAAATAGCAAGACTATACACTATTATTTACTAATGCAACGTCATGCATGCATGGTTATAGTACAAAATTACAAAATTATAAAATTTAAAACTCATACCTGATATGTTATTCCTGGCAAATCAGGAACGGTGAAAAACTGGTGAATGTCAGAGTAAAAAACGCACGCCTAAAAGACGAAAATTCCGGTATGTATAAAGCAATTCAACACTTCAGTGCAACGATCATTTTAAGTGCCCTTAGTGAGTGATTTCGTTAAATTTGAGGAACACCGCGTTTATTTCCAAAACTATTCATCCTTATGCCGGGATAGTATGTTCTCAAATACCACATAACGGATTTTTTATAGAAAATTAAATTTTCCTAATTAAATAAATCAGTCCATTAGGACAACACCATTAAATGCTAAAATAAATCATACCTCACTACATCAGGTTCGCCTATATTTAGAAAGCCTGGCGAAGGTAAAAAAGGTGTTCGAAATAACAGTCCAAAAGAAGCAAAATTTGCATGCTGCAGTGTGTATGACTCGATAGTTTAATTGATCTAACCCGTGATCAGCTTATATTCGGGGAGTCCACCAGTTTAACAAACAATTAATGTCGCATTCAAGAATTTCAAAGAATATAATTAATTATGAGCTGGCACGATAGATTTTCCCAGAATAATTGTGTTACATGTAGTATCTTTCCTATATACTTTTGCTCTATAGACTATGAAACAACACAACCCTATAATAATTGAATTAATGAAGGATGAGAGGGAAACCTCTTTCATAACTATACATATAGCCATTCATGACCATACACATTTAGTTTACATATTCTTCCTAATATCAAAACTGCAGTGCTCCGAGTGAAATAACAGGAGCACAGTTAGACATTCGAAATGTGGTTTCACACTAAGTTGTTATATACATTCGTAAAACATTGTATACTTTCGCGTGCAATGAAGCACTTTGCAGGTCACGCACCAAAGAAAACGTTTCATCGATAGATAGATCATGCACCAAAGATAGCGAAAAGGGACAGATCCTAAGTTCATTTCATCAAAACTTATTCCGGCAAATAGTTTATTTCTTCGTTGTTTCACCTGCAGCTGAGCGTAGCTTTCAATCAGCTAAATTAAAGTATATCTCCTGCATAGTTACTAGTTTAGTAAGGACGACAGTATATGAAATTGAGTATATATGTGAATGTGTCAGCTTTATTAAGAACTTACGTCTTGTGTAATGTTCTAGCCACGAAATTCCAAGTGCGAGCGGAGTTCGCACGAACAGCAGTGTCTTCGCCTCTGTTGGAAGCAAGACTAAGAAGGTGTGACTTACATTGCGAAAATATGTAATAATAAAACGAGTCTCCAACTGTGAGGTGTGAGAGTATATTTATATCACTGGAATTTGCTATGACTATGTATTCCAGAATGGTCCAAGTACTCATCGTACAATCTAGATTAGAATGATTTTTTACTTTAGTAAAAAAATACAATTTTGAAATTACAATTCCGAGCACAGCAGCACTTTAATATGCATGGTTTCTTCGTGGTTTCACACAGTCTGTACTGGAAAATGAAAATAATTGCCATTCGAAAATGAATTAGAATGCAATTTGCATGGGTTAAAATCATTCAGAAAGTAACAAATGCCATCCAAATAGTTTGATAAGAGGACAGAACGAAACCATGAATCAATCTTCTGTCAACGATCAGTCATTGGCTGTTAATAAACTTCTCACGAAAGACAATGCCAGATTAAAAAAAGAGAACGATTCTCTCAAAGAGCAAATCAATAGCTATAAGTGCGTTATGTCCGACCTGAATTTAAAAGTTAAGGACTTGGAAAACGAAAAGAATAGTTTAGTTACGGTCATTAAAATTATTCAAAACGATCAAGAACAACAACAGGCATCATGGACTGTTGCCAACAACCGCAAAAAGACCACGGAGGGACGAAATACGTCAGCCCATAATCCTGTTGGTACAAAAAATGTCAAAGCAAAAGAATCAGTGCAACAAAAGAATCAGTATACTGCTTTAAGTATATCGGACGTAGACGATAGTGAATCAGACAGCAATAATGTATCTGATAACCGTAGCGACGACATTACCGCGACACAAGTCCCAAAACAAGACCAACGACACGAAAGAAACCGACACTCTAAAAAAGATTCACAGCAAGTCAAAGAAGCAAATATACCTAAGAACACGAAACACAACCGCCCTACTGTTGCCATTCTGGGTGATTCCATGTTAAAACACTTGAATCCAAGAAAAATTCAACATGGATTGGACCATAAAGTCACGATTAAAACTTTTCCTGGGGCCGGTGTAGACGAGATGATACATTACGTTAGACCAACACTTCAGAAAAAAACAAACCATGTTGTCTTACACGTAGGTACGAACGACCTTCAGACCAAATCACCAGATACATTAATAACGGCGATAAGCAGACTCGGAGAAACAATTACTCAAGAAGGAAATGGAAATGAACTTACACTCTCGGAAGTTATAACTAGAAATGATAATGCGAATCTTGCCGACAAGGTAAATGTTTTTAATAAGAAACTAGATGAACTATGTACTGAACATAACTGCAGGGGTCTTATTAAACATGATAATATAACTAAAGTTCATCTCAACAATTATGGACTACATTTAAACCAAAAAGGGACATCTACCCTTGCAGGAAACGTAAAACAATTTTTAAAAAACCAAGTGTTTGATTGAAATCAAGATACCGTCAATAATACATATCGCAATTCAAATGCAAATTATGCCGACTATCCTAAAACAAGAGGTTTTAAAATTGCCCACTTAAAGGTAAGAAGTTTAATCAAGAATATCGATGAATTAAAAATATACCTTGACAAACAACAATTTGACATAATTAGCCTAAATGAAACAATGCTAGATCTGTCTGTTCCAAAACATGAGATAAAGTTAAATGGCTATGAAATTGTTAGAAAAGACAGAAACCGGCACGGCGGAGGCGTAGCAATTTACATACGAAATTCAATAAACTACATAATAAAAGACGATCTATTTGACGAAAACCTTGAGACAATCACAATCGAAATCTCTAAACCAAAATCTAAACCCTTTTTAATAAATTGTTGGTATAGACCTCCTGATACACCACTAGAATTGTTTAATAACTATGAAGATTTAATTACTAATATGGACTCCGAAAATAAAGAAGTTATTTTGATTGGGGACTTCAATTGTGATTGGTCTCGCCTAATCAACAATAAAGCTAATGTCCAGACAAACAAACTTGCCGAACTTGCAGGAACTTTTCAATTTGAGCAATTGATTAATGAATCAACACGAATTACGTCCACAACGAAAACCTTAATAGACCTAGCATTCACAAATAAAACGGAATTAATAAATGGTTCAGGAATCATCCATCTGGGAATAGTGCATGACCATAGTTTAATTTATATTCAAAGAAAAATTTCTATTCCTCTTAATGACCCAAAAGTTATTAAAACAAGACAATTCAAGCATTACAGCGTGAACAACTTTAAATCAGATATTTTCATCTATTTACACAACGGAATATTTTGGGATACCATATATAATGTGGAAAAAATGTAAAACAACATTTTTATCAATCGCCGATTTTCACGCTCCCGAGACTACCCGTAAAAGGTTAGAAGTGAGTATGCTCCTTGGATCACAAATAATATTAGGGAAGTTATGAAACAAAGAGATTTTTTGAGAAAAAAAAAAGCAGCTAAAACAGGATCGAAACAGTTTCATGATGCCTATAAGCGAACACGTAACGATCTAAACAGATTAATTAAAAATACAAAAGCGACTTATTTTAGGAACACTTTGAATGGATGCGAAAAAAATCCCAAAGAAATGTGGAAAACGATTAATAAACTTACAGGAAAAAAGTCAAAAACAACTTTAATATCCAAAATCCAACAAGACAACCAAAATGTGACAAAACCAGAGGAGATCGCAAATAGCTTAAACGCGCATTTCAATGAGGTAGCATCAAACCTAGCAAAAGATATTTCACAAAGTTCCAAGACGGCAGAGTCTTACCTAACCTCATCCAACGCATGGTTTAATATTCAAAACGTCTCATTAACAAAAGTATTTAAATTGCTTTCGACGATAAAAACATCCAAGTCAGCAGGCCATGATAGAATATCGATTAATGTCCAATACCCATGCAAGATGTCCGATGGAAAAATCAAAAGGCCATTGGACATTCCATTTGTCAAATGGATCTCTAATTGTCCATTGGTCTTTCGCGTGTCCATTGGATCCAATGGACAAGTGGGATTTCCATCGGACGTTTGCTTTTTCAGTTGGTCAATTACCATGTATTTGAATGACGTAATGAGAAGCACATGGACGTCATGTAGATACAAGGCCAGTGAGATAGCCAAACGAAAGGGTCCATTGGATCCAATGGATCCAATGGACCTGGAAATGTCCATTGGGGAATTTTGTTTGTCCATTGGATCCAATGGACAAGTGGAATTTCCATCGAACGTTTGCTTTTTCAGTTGGTCAATTACCATGTATTTGAATAACGTAATGAGAAGCACATGGACGTCATGTAGATACAAGGCCATTGAAATAGCCAAACGAAAGTGTCCAATGGATCCATTGGATCCATTGGACACCGTGTTTTCCGTTGGAAAAATATTTGTCAGATGGATCAAATGGGCAAGTGATTTCGCGTGCGGTCATAATATTGCTACAGCAGTTAGCGAATAGTGGCTGCTAGCATATTGAAATATGCAATCATACTTGTTTTCACTATTTATTTTTGCGTTCTTGTTAAAGTGTGTAAATCTAGATAATTAAAACTACTATGTGACTATTATTGCTACAGACATGTATATTTGAGGTTTGGGCAAAGGTTATTAGTATAAAACGTTCTGCTGCTTGGGCGTTTAATACATTTTACTGTAATATATGTCAAAAGCCACCCAATTCTATCCGACTAGTATTAAAGATTTTCGTTTGCACTTTCGTTCGCGCGTACTGACTTTGACTTAAAATACTTTACTTTGACTTAAAAGATTTTATAGTCATAGACGCGAAAGCAGGATTCAAATGTGCAAGTGATTGATTCGTGCGGGTATATCGATCGCCGGAGCAGTTAGGGAATAGTGACTGCTAGCATATTGAAATATGTAATCATTCTTGTTTTCATTTAGTAAATTGACCCTTACTAAAAGGTATTGAACAATCAAACTCTCGACGAAGCAAATTCGGTTTTATAAAATTATATTATTGAAAATCACTCACAGTTGTATACGCGGTCTAGTCTCTCTCACAGTCACACAGTCACTACATTCCTATCTTTTAACTCCTCTTCATAATAATATAAATGTGTCAATCATGCAATGTTCGTCCCTAATTAAAGTAATAATTAATCCTGCTATTAAATCACAAATATTAAGATATATATATAGACAGTCTCCGACACACTCCCCCATGCAAGTTAGGAGCTAAATTGTATGTTCCCTAAGGAGACTGCGCTTCTAAACTATCGTGTTCGTGGAAAACAAAACTTGAAAATGAATCTAGTGTTAATGTGTAAATATTATATAGTGTTCACATATCTTCTTCTTGATCTTCTGCTAAGGCGGTTATTTTTGCTCGTGCATCTGCTGCGGCAGCTCTTTTCGGTACGAACGCTCGGGCTCCGGGGTTCAGTTGGACTCTGCCTTCGTTCGCGTTCCCTTTTGTGTCGCACTGGAGTTCTAGGGGATAGAGATGCTGAACGGGTTTTTCTATCTCGCCATTTTTCGTCCTGAGCTGAACAGCTCGCGTCCGACGATCTGGTCCTGGGAATAACTTCTCCACTATAGCTAGTGGCCATTTCCCTCGATTCTTATCGTCTGTCTTCACGATCACTGCGTCCCCTTCTTTAACTTTATATTTCTGAGTCTTATGGACGAGGCTGTGACGTTCTCTCAGCGCTGTCATGTACTCGCGTCGCCATCTCTTCCACAAGCTATTCTTGCACGTTGTTAGATACTTCGCTCGTTTCCGTAGGTCTTGGTCTTCGATCCGCCATGGTTCACTTTCGGGTAATTCATTAGCTCGTTGAAATAGAAATGTGGAAGGGGTTAGGGTTGGAAGTTCTACGTCATCTTCCATGTAGCTTAGTGGACGTCGATTCACTTGGATTTCTACATCTAGCAGTACGTCGTTCAATTCCGACCACGTCAGCTTCGCCCCACCGATCACCTTGTACATAGCACTCTTTACCACTCCGATCAATCGCTCGAACTGACCACCCCACCACGGGGCTCTGCTCAGATTGAATTTCCACGACACGTCGTATTGTTGCAGAAGGCCTTGCACACGTTCGTCGTTCCTGATTTTCTTCAACCACTTGGAGGCCTTGACGAGCGTAGCCCCATTGTCAGAGTAGATGATTCTCGGACGCCCGCGTCGTGCGATCAATCGTTTCAGACACGGGATAGATGATGTCGTTTCGAGGTTCTTTATCAGTTCGAGATGGACTGCCCTCGGCAAACTACACGAGAATATGACTAAGTAGCTCTTCCTTTCGCGTTTGTTGGAGCACTTATGGCGTATAGGGCCAGCGAAGTCCGTACCTATCACTTCGAACGCTACCCCGCCAGTGGTACGATCTTTAGGCAGCTTTTCTGGAATTGATTTTACGATCGGCGTCGCTGTAAATCGCTTACAGCCATAGCACTTTGCACGAACAGCTTTCACTAGTCGTCTTAACGTCGGGACCCAATAGATCTCACGCACTGCTGCCATCGTCAACAGCACACCACCGTGTAGTGTTTCCACGTGGTATCTCTGCACGAGTTTTTTAGTGAACTCAGAGTCGGTTGGAAGGTATATAGGATAATGTCCTTGGATTCTTCCGCA